GACACCCAAATGGTCAGTCTTCTCACTAGCCATCGGGGCCTCCACCTACTTAAGGCCGCCCCTTTGCATTGGCAAACCCAAACACAGGCTTTGGAACCACATCATTGACAAGTTCGACCGCCCCCTTGCAGGCTGGAAGGGCAGGTTTCTCTCTTCTGCTGGCCGCATTACTCTCATCAATGGGACCCTATCCAATATTCCTATCTTCCTCATGCCCTCTTCGGTGGTTGCCCACCTTGAGCAACATATGAGAAATTTCCTTTGGTCAGGGGATTTCGCCTGATCTCTTGGGCGAAAGTCTGCTCACCTAAAATCGAAGGAGGGGGTTTATGCAGGCTCAGAACCTGCAATCTCGAATTGTTAGGGCAGTGGTGGTGGCTCTTTGCCACCTGGCGGAAGGCCCTTAGAACCAAGTACCACTACAAGGAATCAGCGTGGATCCCCAGAGGAAGGGTCAAAAGCAACTCTTCCGGGGTGTGGAAAGCTTTAGTAAGGTGCCTCAACCTCTTCATGGCCCACATTCGTTTCCGGGCCTCAGGTTGGAACTAGGGTTCTCTTTTGGTCTGACCTTTGGATCGGAAACATGCCGTTGAGGGATCAATTCCAGAACCTGTACTTCTAGCCACGAATTGTCAGGCGACAGTGGCTATTCAAACCCTCGGGGACAGGTGAAGTGTGAAAATGTAACTTTCTCACACTGAAGCACAAATGTATGACACATCTAAAAGAGTTCCTCATGAAAGAATCACTAGCAGGTTTTGTTGGGCAGAGAACATTGCTTTGTATGAGTGTATATAGAATTAATCATTAGATACAACAAACACAAGCTTGGGAAAGAAACAGGTAGATATGGACCATGGATCACAGGGAGAGATATCATTACCATCTAAATTCCTCAACATATCCGTAAAGAATCTGAAACTACCAAAACTTGTCTAACTGCCATTCACAGGGAATTATAACTAGTTAACAGACGAGAGAATTAAAAAAAATCCTGGGCAATAGAGTTATTCACACTTCACATTCAACAAACCTAGGAGAAAATTGAATAAACAAAATTGCCTACAAATAAAGTAGTACAGTGCTTCTTATGTGCAATATGGTAGATGAATTATTCATTGATCTTTCTTGTTTCTAAGAAAATATTCATCAATCAATGATTATTAGTCAATTTTTGGTACTTAAGTTGGCAATTCGGCTCTGAGCCACCACGAGGCCTCTTCTCCATGAATAAAAACAAAAATCATGTTCAATGATATTGCCAGCAAACAACTCCCAAACAATGGAACTCGATTTGTCACAAGGGAATGCGAATGGATGGGCAAAGAGATACACACTTGTTAACCTTCAACTGAGAATCCCTTTTGCACCCATTATTGTTTATCAATTTCTAAATGTAAGAAAATGAAGGTGAACAGATGGGGCAGGATGGTAAATTTGTTATCCAATCCTTTTTTTCCCCCTTCAATGCTGTTAAACAATAACTGCCATCCAAGACAAGGACAGAGAATTCCACAGACAATCTTAGATAAGATGAATGCGAATGGATGGACAAAGAGAAATCCTGTTTGCACCCATTATTATTTATCAATTTCTAAATGCAAGAAAATGAAGGTGAACAGATGGGGCAGGATGGTAAATTTGTTACCCAATCATTTTGTTCCCCCTTCAATGTGTCCAAGACAAGGACAGAGAATTATATGGATAATCTGAGATAAGATGAAAGCATGCTGCAAGACTAAGAAAAGCGTTTTTTATGATTTTTAAAGCCTAATATGTAAATGATACAGGGTAATTTGTCTTAAATCTTTACCAATATTTATGACTACAAAAGTAACTTCAAGAGAAACACAATACCAATTACTGTTGAGCAGCAAATTATGCAATTAGAAAGTTCATATAGTTGCACGAAAGAACTGAAAGAAGACTTGGCTTTACCAGCAGTTTATACAACTACACTGCTTACTCATTTACATACACAAAGTACAGATGGCTTGGCATGAGACTAAGGACATGAATCAAACGAATAAGTGCGATACATCACCATTATCAGCTGCCTTTATCAACACTCAATGAAAGAAATAGAAAAATACTTCTTTTGACTAATACAACACACAACGAACTAAACAACAATCACATCATAGTACAATCACATAACAGATTTATGGATACAAAGTCTCAAAGAGACTGTAAGACATTAAAATGCTTAAAATCCCAAATGTCATTGTAGAAAACTAGAAGTCTAGAAATAATACACAAAGTAAAGAAGGCAAAAACAAACAAACAATAATAACAATAATAATATATATGTGACATGTCACCACCCAATTCTCTAATGTCAACCAAACAACTCTATGGCATCACCACACGAGGTGTTCAAGTGGATCCAAAGGAGCATCGGATGATGATGATGCCGTGCCATCATCATCAGAGTCATCTCTGTCCTCAACATATTGAGCATCATCCCTTCTCTCCTCTTAATCTACTTATTATTCCTCTTCCTCCTCTTTTGATATCATCATCCTCTTCCTCTTCTTCGCCATTGCCTTCCCTTGCTGGGCCTTTCCCTTCCTTTGGCTTTGAGATTGAGCCTGAGTGGTATGCACAGGGGGCATTGATGTCCCAACAGCCTCATGAACCAAGCCCCAGGTCAAGGCCTCTCCAAAGTATACCTTATCATCATCGGCATCAATCAATCACTCGCATGTGTCATCAATATCAAAAGCTTCAATAGCCTCCCTTTCATTACGCCCCAGTTGTCGATGGCGCCCTTGCAACTTCTGATTATACTGAATAAAGACTAGGTCGTTTAGTCATTTTTACTCTAATATGTTCCTCTTCTTTGTAGGCACCTTATAGAAAAAAGCTCACTTAGTTACTAACTTACTAAATACTAAGTACTAATTACTAAGTATGTATGAAATTAACTATTAAGTATTAACTATTAAGTAAATAACTAAATAAGTAATATTATATTACCATTTCAAAGTTATTGAACTTGCACTGACATCCAGAAGAGCTGCAAGTCAGATTTAGTATTGTCATGGCCATATGCCTCAAATCCACTATGCACCTATTTCATGTAAATGTACAACTGTGAATATAGTAATTGAGTAAATTAGGTATCTGGGTAATTGAAATTAAATATTCAAATCAATTGAATTAGAGAGAGAGAGAGAGAGAAAGAAAGAGAAAGCTCCACACCCCCACACATTGGTTGCCTTCCTCCTCCTTATGGTGTTATGCTCTCCCTCATGGCCATATGATCTACAACTTTCTATCTATGATGTCTTGTGCATAAGGTAACCTTCCTAGTCCTCTTCATTGAATAAGTTCCTTTTCATTCCATTTGCTTGCAGTAAATTTTCCACTATAATAGCCATTTATAAACTCCATGCTTCCCTGTTATGTTGAGTATGCCCATGAAACTATTTATCTACTGCATCTGGCACACATAATCGAGACCATCCTTCACGCAAATTGAGAATCATTTCCTAAAGATTTTCATCACCTGTTTTCTGAGAATTTTCTGAGTATAACAGCCAGCATTTGATGAAATTTTGAGTACCATTTGATGAGAGCATAATCATAGAATATCCCTCCTGAGAAACTATACCAATTTTGACTACTTCATGGCTATATACTCCCATTTTACATGTGCAATCCATAGCAAGTTCTAAAAATTATTTTCATCATCAAAGATTAGTCATCCTCTCTCTCTCTCTCTCTCTCTCTCTCTCTCTCTCTCTCTCTCTCTCCTCTCTCTCTATCTACTCTCTCTACTCTACTACTACTACTACGTACTACTACTACTACTACGTACGTACGTACGTACGTACT